TACATTGGCTATTAGAATGAAATGATCATACCTACCATTATTCACACATCTTACCATGTTTCAGGAAACCCATGCTTCCAAGAAAACACCATGGCGCCTCTTTCAATGAATTTCCCTTGGGGTCCTGTCATGGGTAGGTACATCTTATCTTCCGTATGCACAAAATGCAAAGCTAAAGTTAAAATCCTTCTTTGGCTTCTCACTGTTCTTAGGACAAATGTCTAAATCCTCAGTGAGCCTAAAAGGAGCAGGATGATCCACTGTCAATCTTGTTTCCATTTCTCAAAAGCACCTTTGACCTGGGAGTGCGCCGGGCATGCCCTCTTCCTGCCTCAGCTCAGCTGGTTACTCAGTGCATCTCGGTTAGCAGATCACATCTGAAAGGCTTTTCCTCAGCCTTTCCCGATCACCCCCAGTCCTCCATGACACTCTTTATAATGCAAATGTGCACTTTGTGTGTAATTTATCCATTCAATATCCGTCCCCTTCTCCCCCAGACCCTAACTCCATGACAGCCGTCATGTCCCTGTCACCTACAACTCCAGTGTCTGCTTTACAGGTGTTCAATATGTATTGTGAAATGAATGAGTATTCATAAATCTTTGCAATTGCCTGACATAAGCAAGCCCTTCTGTAGCTTCTGTGCCCTGTAGCAAATACCAAAAGGTGAAACGTGGATTTTCTTAAAACAACTAGAGAGAATTGTTCGACATGTAATCCCTGATGTCTGGCATCTATACTGCTCTTTTTGTAGTGAGAAATTTTCAAACATCTGCAAGAGTAGAGGGAAGAGTCCAAGGAAACCCTGTTCAGGCACCACCAGGTTAAACAATTATCAGCTCATGGTCCATCTTGTTTCCGCCAGTGTGGCCGCCACTGTCACTGGATTATTTTAAAGCTACTCCCAAGCATCATATCATCTCAACTGTAAAAACTTGAGTGTGTATTTGTGACTCTTTATAAAATTACTTTAATAACACTTGCATGCCTAAGCAATTCTTTAATATCATTACATCCAGTCAGTGTTGAAATCGTCCAAGTTGTCTGATAATGTTTTTTTCCAGTTGCTTTTTTTGGAATGCAGCCGGGATCCACAGGTTGCATTTGGCTGATAAGTCTCTTAGTCTCGTAACATGTGACAATTCCTGCATCCACTTATTTTTTCTTTTATCTTGCCATTTAAAGACACTAGGCCGTCTCTTCCGTAATACTTCTTGCATTTTTTGATTTTACAGATTCCATCCTGTAAGCTGGTAGGAAGCCTGAAGGCTTGATGGGATTCCAGTGTGATAGGAGGCAAGAACATGCCTCAGGTGAGGAGGCACCTGAGCTTCTCTTGGGGCAGGAGCGTGGGCTGCTGGTTGACCAGATGTTCTCAATTTGATCCTACTTTATAAAGTTCCCCAATGGCTAGATCCATCATCTCCCTGAGGGTTGCAAGATGGGGATATTAAAACTCTAGGATTCCTTCTTAATTAGTGAAAACTTTTCTATAAAGAACTCTCCGGGGGTGGGGGTGGGGAAGGATGGGGAGAAGGGATAGTCAGGGAGTTTGGGATTGACATGCACACACTGCTGTATTTAAAATAGATAACCAGTGGACCTACTATATAGCACAGGGGGCTCTGCTCAAATTTTTGTGGCAGCCTGGATGGGAGGGGAGTTTGGGGGGGAATGGATACATGCATATGTATGGCCGAGTCCCTTTGCTGTGCATCTGAAACTATGACAACATTGTTAATCGGCTCTACTCCAATATAAACTAAAAGGTTAAAAAAACAAAACTTTCCCCTATGAGCTATTGGTTTACCATGAAATTCCGTCTGTATAGGAGAGGGAGGATAAATTCTCAATTCTTTCGCTTTACTAGTTTTCAGAGTAATTACTGTTGGGTGGCTCTTTGCTTCTAGGTCTTTCCCGTGGAGAGAGTTAGGATGTATATTTCTTAAGGGGAAAATAGTCATGAGTTTATACTGTTATTTCCAATTCAAAATCAGTACCACTAAGCTTCTTTTGCTTTCATTTTATATTTGTGTCTCTTTTGTTTCACGTTGAAAATCTTGGTTCCTGATGACATCAACATAATTATATATTCATTTTATCGGTGTGTGTGTGTGAGTGTGTGTGTGTGTGTGTGTGTGTGGTCTCCAATAACAATGACACTGATAACTGAAAACAATTTAAGCCTTTTTTGGGCAGTTTTTTTTTCTGGCTTTATTACTGTGTTGTTCAGGTCATTCCCTGGGGGGTTAGGTCCACAACTTCGTATATGGTTAAATTCATTTGTTGCATTTTGTCTCCATTTGTGTTCCACTTTGTGTTATGGTTATGGAAAACATTTCTGTGGCTCGGAAGTCAGAAGAGCCCCTAGCCATAATCCTTCCAACAGGGAATTCCCTGGTGGTCTAGTGGTTAGGACTCTGCGCTTTCACTGCTGAGGGCCTGGATTCAATCCCTGTTCAGGGAACTAAGATTCCACAAGCCACGCAGCACGGCCAAAAATAAAAATAAAATAAAAAATAATCCTTCCCACAGCATGGAGCCTAGCACATCAAAAACACTCAAATATTCATTGACTTTTATGACCTGTTATAGATGATTTTTCTAAGTCATCCACTGGGGGGATGGCTCCCACCAAGAAAGCCCAAGGCATGGTAAGGACCATGGTTTGCTCTAAAGTTCAGCTTGATTGAGAATTTTTAGGGTGCTTTGTAAAGGAAAGCTCAAAAGGCATATTTCAAGATCCCTAATCTAAATCCTCCGGCTTCACCCAGAGAAGCCGGTCATAAACCGGCCAGGCTGGAGTGCTGGAGAGAGAAGAGTCCCTCATCTCCAGTTCCACCCGAGCTCGGAAACCCTCCTCTCTTCTTTTCCTTCTTCTTCTTCTTCTTTTTTTTTACATTATTATAGAGACTGTCAGAGTTTATTTTCCTTTAAGAAGTGAAATGGATCCTTTTTTATTGAGGTATAATTGACATACTATATTAGTTACAGGTGTGTACAACATGATTCAATATTTGTAGATATTGTGAAATTATCACAATAAGTCTAGTTGACATCCATGACTATACATAATTACACATTTTTTCCCATGATAACAACCTTTTAAGAGATCTATTCTCTTAGCAACTTTCACATATGCTCTATATTACATCCCCACGACATTTATTTTATACTGAGGAAAAAAATTAATCAATAGTCAACCTAAGAAAGAAATGGAAAATTTCATTTGAGCCAACCTGAGGATTATAACCTGGGAGACAGCCTCTCAGAGAGCTCAGAACTGTTCTGAAGAGGTTAGGGGGCAGGGAGGCCAGTATGTCTGTGATTTTAGAGAAGGGGTACGTGCAGTCAAACACACGTCTTGGTAGAAGGTTACTGCTGTTCATGAGTGAAGAGATATCTTAGTTAATGGTTTTAGTGCTTTTCCAAGTATGGGAAGATGCAAGAAACTGGGTTCATAAAATTTTCTCCTGAAAATATCTAACTACCTGAGGGCCAGTTCTGCCAGTTTTCCCAGAGCACAAAAATGCCTCATCTTGTTCTTCACCATGAATTCCTTTTAGGGTATATTTTAGGTCAGTGACTGCAGCGGCTCACAACTTGATTCTTGTAGAACCGGATGGTGGGCAACGTTCTTTATTTTACAAACCCTTTCCTTTCAGTCTTAATTTAGACCAAGGTTTGGGAGGCATTTCATGACCAATTTGGCCCACAACACTAGGAATGCTCATTCCCAGGTGATGCCAGGATTTCATTGATAGGACTCTCCATGTGCTATTAGTGGATTAGGCCCTGTTGACAGTAGCCCAAAGCCTCTGGACCGCCTGTCTTACTGGTCTGTTATGGTCCAGGAAATGGTTCCCTCTTGTTGCTTCTTCCCATAGCTAGAGTTACGCTATTACCGTCATTGATCTTAAGAGAACTATATATCAATATTTGGTGAATCACTTCAAGTCACTTAGTCATTGTTATTTTTATCACAGGCTCAGTCACACATCTGGTAATGCAAGAAACAATCATTTTGTAAAGTAGGCAGGATATAAACAATATAGCTAGTGACATTAATAAGGTCATATGTAAGTATTTAAGCTAAGAACTTCCATTAGGTGTGGCCCCGTATCTCCCCAGGGCATGTGACCTGGTCTGTTTTGTACCCGTCGCTATCTTTAAGGGAAATGATATATTGGCATTGTACATAAAATTCACCAAAGATGTGTATGCACATCCAAGGTGAGTGGTGGGTCATCGTGATCCTTTACAGGATTGAGAAAGGAATGGCATCTTCAAAGGGGTTACATGGCTGGCGCTAGAAAAAGAAAAATTCATGTTTATGGTTGAGCAGGTATTTCTGCCATTAGGGAGTTCAAGTTAATGCATAAATGCAGATGCACAATGCACACGAGAGGGGAGGCAGGAGGCCCAAACGGGCAGAGTAAAAACAATTTGTTTAAATTTTTCTTGTCTTGCCTTAAAATATGAATTTTATTTCATCAAATCCTAGCACACAGTAGACAGGGAAGACTTACAACTGTCACATGATCTCTAAAAGACAAGTTAGCGGCAGAACCATTTATAGAAACCAGGTGTTCTGTCTTTTGGCCTCCCCCCCAGGCATATTAATCTTCACCATCTTGTGTATTGAGCAAAGGCTGCAAAGTTGCAGCACCGGCAGGGCTGGACGCTCAGTAGCATTGGCCTTGCACGATCGTGCGTGGCTCAGCTGGGGTGCAAAATCCAAGAAGGTCCTTTTCCCGCGGGGCCTGGAGGTGTGGCCTCACTTTCCCACGCAGGCACCCTCAGGTCTCCGGCGCCTCACCTGCCGGCTGCTTGGTGACGGAAGGATCCCTCAGCCTCGCCCTCTGGCTCTGACACCCAATGGGCGGCCGCGGGCCTCAGGTGGGCGGGGCACGCCCTGGCAGCCGTTCTGGTTGGCCCGCGGTCCGGCGAAGCGCATGACGTCTCCGTCGCGTCGTGCTGGCGTGAAGTGGTAACGTCCGCTCCGGGAACCTGAAGGAGACTTGGAGGCCCCTGGGCCGCGCTGCTTGGGTCGTTGGGAGTCGCCGCTGCCGCCCCTTCCCGCACTCCATGAGGAAGATGCTCGCCGCCGTCTCCCGCGTGTTGTCGGGCGTCGCCCAGAAGCCGGTGAGGTGGCGTGAGCGACCCGGGGTGGGGCGCGAGTGGGCCCGAGGCCGGAGGACGCCAGAGGGCAGGACGAGCGGGCTGAGTGGGCCGGGCGGGCCGGGCCTTGTGGAACCGCGGGCCTTTGTCCTGCCTCCACGTCGTGCGCTCCGCTCCTGGCCGCGAGGGGAGCGGTGGCTCGGCCCTCGGGCGCCGACTGAGGGAGGGCGAGCTTAACAAGGTCCGCGTGGAGGTCAGGCGCGGCTCCCGGTGCCGGCCTGGTCGGTGAGCTCTGGAAGGGCCCGTTCGTTTACCTCAGACAGGGAAGGGGGCTTTGGGATTCCTCGAGTCTCCAGTTGACCGCCTCTTCCCAGCCCACTCATTTTAAATCTTCCTCTTGACCGGGAATTCGGAGACAGAGTGGCTCCATTCACACTTCAGTTTCACCAGTTACTAGCCCTGTGACCTTGAGTAAGATGTTTTTGTTTTTTCTTCAAGATCCCCGTGCTCAGTTTCCTCATCTCTAACATGGAGATGAGAGTACTTACCCCGTGGGGTTGTGGGTTTTTTTGTTTGTTTTTTTTTTTTAAATGAGGATGAGAGACGGTGAGGCTTAAACGAGTGACAAATACGTAAACCTTTCCCGGTAGCGCCTGGTGCTACCTGTGTTAAACATCGTTATTATCATTTAGGATCTCTGTTGCCTTATTGATTCTCTGTATGGAAGATCTGTCCATTGATGTGAGTGGGGTGTTAAAGGCTCCTACCAGTACTGTATTCTGGTCAATTTCTCCCTTTATGTCTGTTAGTATTTGTTTTATGTATTTGGGTGCTCCTATATTAGGTTCATATATGTTGACGGGTGTAAAATCATTATATAGTGTTCTTTATCTTTCTTTATGCTCTTTGTTTTAAAGTCTATTTTTTCTGATATGAGTATTGCAACCCCCGCTTTCTTGTCATTTCCGTTTGCATTCCCTCACTTTCAATCTTTGTGTGTCCTTTGCCCTAAAGTGGGTCTCTTGTAGGCAGCATATTTTAGGCTCTTGGTTTTTTTTTTAATCCAGTCTGCCATTCTGTGTCTTTTGATTGGAGCATTACTGACATTTAAGGTAATTATTGATACGTATGTATTCGTTGCCATTTTAAACCTTGTTTTCCAGTTTATGCTATGTTTCCTCTTTGTTCCTTTCTTTTTGTGGTTTGAGGATTTCCTTTTATTTTATGCTTGTGTTTTCTTTCTGGTTTTTGTGAATCTGTTGTATGTTTTTGACTTGCAGTTGCCCTGTTTTTCAAGTATGTGAACCCCTTCCTGTATCTGTTTGCTTTAGACTGGTAGTCATATAGGCTCAAATGCATTCTAAAAAAACGAATCTACATTTTGTCACTCTCCTTCCCCACATCTTATGATTTTGATGTCTTTTTTTTTTTTTTTTTTTTTTTTTTTTTATATGTGGGCCTCTCACTGTCGTGGCCTTTCCCGTTGCCGGACGCGCAAGCTCAGCG